AAGAGTAAAAAGGGTAGAAAATTTAAGCAAAATAATAATTCTAAGCCAAGTTTGGGGAAAAACAGGCATAAAAAAGACTGTACCATCTTATATTATGAAGGAGATGTATTCACCTCTTAAATTATCTTGACATTCAAACATTAATGTTTAAAAGTAGTGTGATGATGTCCTAATATTTTCTGTAAACAAGGCTGCATGGCAGTGATGATCCAAGTTACCTGAGGTAATGTGTGGGAGAGAAACTGATGGCTCAAATCTCTTTATTTACAGGAGGTCTCGGATAACGTTAAGCTTTCTGTCAATGACTTCATAATTAAAGCTTCTGCTCTAGCATGTTTGAAGGTGCCTGAGGCAAATTCTTCATGGATGGACACAGTTATTAGGCAGTAAGTCTATGGTACGGTCGAAGCCAGAAACTTTCTTTGTTCAGTAGAGAGTTTATGGCAAAATAGTAGACCTTCCACAGGGATTTTGAGGAGGGAGGGGAACAGGTATACTGCAAAGGTTGAGGGGCTTTCATTGAAGTGCTAAGAACCTCATATCTAAGACTAGTATGCCAACTGAAATAATTGTTGCAAAATTAATACTCCTTTAGAGTTGTCTGAACCATTCTGAAATTTTTCTTCTTTGATACCATGCTAGAATAACTGGCATCTCCTTTGTGTCTTGCAGAAATCACGTAGTGGATGTTAGTGTTGCAGTTAGTACTCCTGCAGGGCTTATAACTCCTATTGTGTTTAATGCACATATAAAGGGCCTGGCTTCCATTAGTAAGGATGTGGTTTCTTTGGCGACTAAAGCCCGAGAAGGTAAACTTCAGCCCCATGAATTCCAGGTGAGAAACTCAGATTGCTGTTCAACATTGCTGCCCTTGACTCTTGTTCAGAAGCCCTGCTCAAAATGAGTAAGGCCTATTTTGTGGTGTTTCAGCCACGTTCATTAATACTCCACATGAAACAGCTTTTGTGAATTTGACGATGATTGTGCTTTTCTTGTAGGGTGGTACTTTCACAATTTCCAATTTAGGAATGTATGGGATTAAAAATTTCTCTGCCATAATCAATCCACCTCAAGCCTGCATCCTTGCAGTTGGTGCCTCAGAGAAAAGGCTAGTGCCAGCTGATAATGAGAAAGGGTAAGTATTCATCTGTTCGGCGTATAACAAGCTTCTGAAATAAAACTTTGAAATAATGGCTAGTTTTCTAACACTTCCATTTGATTATCATTTTAAAAAAATAATTGTTGACATGCTGCTTTCAGTATCTTCTGAGAAGGTACGGTGAGTCCTTGTATAAAAGGGTCATACAGGCGATAGAGAAATGCAGTGACTGATGAATGATCTGCCCTACATTTATTCTTGTAGCTTCTTTGCAGGTTGAGGACAGGCTGTTTCTTTCTTTGAGGGGTAGGGTTAATCTGTGGAAGAGAGCCTAGAATCCAGTTTAGGCACCTGTTCCTCTTTTACAACTTGCTTAAACTTCCATTTAAGAAAAACCTAAGGGATGGATTATAATTCAAGTGTTCTGTATTAATATAGTCTTGCTTGGAGCTTGAACTAACATAGACCCAGGAGAATGTTCAGGATTCTTTAAACATTTTAACAGTCCTAGGTACTATCACTGACACGTGGGGAAACTGGAGGTTACCAGGTAAAATGGCTCTTTTTCTTTGAAGTGCCCAGGGAGAAACATCTGTTACTAAGCAGCAACTGCTGTTGCTGGTTCTCTGATAAAAGCTTTTTTGCTTTGTTAGTGGCACTGAATTGGAACTGACTTGCAGAGAATTGTGTTAACCTGTTTTTTCCTTTTTTTGTTTTTCCCCCCTCCTTTCAGATTTGATGTGGCCAGTATGATGTCCGTTACACTTAGCTGTGACCATCGTGTTGTAGATGGAGCAGTTGGAGCACAGTGGCTTGCTGAATTCAAGAATTTCCTTGAAAAGCCAGTAACCATGCTGCTATAATTTAACCGTGCAAGCAAAATTTTCCTGGGTCACACTGTTTTGTTTTAAAAAAGGTATTTAGACTTTAGTGCTCAGACTTATTAAAGGGGTTCCTTTTTATTTTAAATATGTATTATATTATCTGGTAATGTTTTTACCAGTCTGTACAGAAAAAGTTTGCAAAAGTGCTTTTCAGAGCAATATTACAGCTACACTGTATTTTTATACAGTTAGTTAACTTGCAAACTCTTCCAAAACAGAGTTAAACATACCAAATTTTAAAATTGTCCAGGCAGTATGCATACTGCCATCTGCTTCTAAATGAGGGTGAACCAGGGGGTGCATACCAAGCAGTTTCATGACCTCGGTGTTCTCAGAAATTTGAATTGTCTCTTCACAGGAGTTCAGATTAGATAGTAACTGAAATGTGCAAGTTAGTAGAAGGTGAATTCCCTTATTATCCTGTTCTTGGCTGGAGTAGGCAAGTATGTCAGATGCACTAAGGGACTGAAGCGCCTGGGAGTAGTTTCTCAGAGGCCACGTGCTAGCATTCCAAATCTCTCTTGGAATTTGGCACTGGTCTGGACCTTCTCAGCTTTATGATCCCTTTTGAGCACTTTAAAGTAAGGTGAAAAAGAGCACTGATATCTGTGGGGTCACAGCTCTCAGATACCACAGGGAATGTGCTGTCTTCTCTTGGACTTTCACTTACATGTGCTTTTTGTATGAAAACTCCCTAATTGCTAGTCCTCTTGCTAAGTTAATCTCGAGACTACAATGCCATGGAAGTAACTGTTTTGCAGAATGTTCAAGAAAATCTGTGTGCTGGAACCCAATATAGGCAAATCACACGTGCTAATAATCCCATCAGTGGATATTAATGATGTGATGACTCGAATGTTTGGAAATTTTTTTTCAGGCATTCTAACATAGGAAGCTCTGAGTTAGTCACTGGTCCTGCGGTTCTTCCCTGGATTGTCTCATGTTGTCCCAGCCTCAGTAAGCTGCAGAATGTGTTATCCATGTATATATTGTATGTAAAGTGCTTCAGTAGTTTGTTGGACTTGTGTCCAGTTACCCCAGTCATTGTATCCTCAAAGGGGTGCAGTGCTGAACGTTCTTAAATTCCACTTTCCACATGGAAATGTTAATGTAAAAAGGACAACTGTGTAGTCATTACAAAGTAATCAGGAGAACTAAATAGGAGGGGAGAAGTCTGAAGGAAAATAAAAAAGCTAAAAGAAGTTAAAGCTGATCTGTTGTTCTGTATATTGCATTAAGTACCATCTCCTGTAAAGTTCTACCAAATTCACTAAAGATATTGAAAGAAAATACTGTGGAAATTAAATATTTTTGTGGGAACTATTTAATGTCTGTTTGCTGTGATACCTGGTTTTCATGCCTGGCTTAAGCAAAAAAGTGCATTAAGTTTTTGTTCTTTCTTTAACGATCTAAAATATTTTGGTTCCAGACTTGTTCCAGTGAACCTATGGTCTATTAAATGTTTGGAACTGACAACTACTAAAACATGTTCCAGTGCTTTTCTGTTCGGTCATGCGTGGCTTACTGAACTGCTATAGCACAGTCAGAGCTGTTTAGCCTTTCAGTTTGATAGTGACACTCACCCTATTAACCTTAATTTGTGGTCACAAATGTTCCAGAACAGTGCTTGCTTTATTGCTATAACGCAGCAGTGAACTTTTTAATCTTTCTGGTTTCCTTGCTGCAGTGTTCCCCAGAAACTCAAACTCTGGCTAAGGAGACCTATCACTTTCTTCCTGCAATGGGAACACACCAAATAGTTTGTCCTGTGGAAACACTCTCTGAATGACACTCAGACTCTGGAACACTTGCAGCTCAAAAAATGCTACCTATCTAGTGTGTGTGCTTGGCGTGCTGATAGTGACTGCTGGTACTGCTTGCCACAGGCCAGCTCAGCTCATGCAGTGATACAGCTTCAGCTTGAACTTGCAACTATAATCACTGAACAGTGTTTCAATGCAGCCTTCTAAGTTGCTTTGAAACAAAGAAGGGGGAAAGCTACAAGTTACTGCTCTTCTCTAAGCCTGTGTTTTAAAGTTGCAGCTTAAAACCAGTTTGTCTGTTTCTGTTTCTAATCTGATTCATGTTGCTACGGAAACACAGTTGGTGCAAATGTGTAAGGAGGACTTAAGACGAAATCAGTCATGAAACTAAGATCACGTAACCTTTTGTTTGTCCCTTTCTCAATTAATTCTAGTAATGCTCAGCAATCCTTGAACTTGTTTTGTGTTGCTTTGTAATATTTTTGTGTGTGTATTAGTGTGAACTCGTGCAGATGGTTTTCCTCGTTGAAGTGCTCCAAGACAGGTTTTGGTTGCTAGCTTCATACTAAGTGTTCCTGAGCTTTGAATCTCTATGTGCTGTTTCGAATAGTACAAAATAGGTCTGTTGTTTTATGTTCTCATTCAGAGATTACCAAACTGTATGAAGTGAGGTCAAGCATATTCAGTGACTGAGAAAACTACAAAGCCTGTTCCAGTTAAGATGAGCAGGGGTTGTCCTAAAGAGAACAGCAACAGCACGCATGGCAGCTTGTAGAACTGCGTATGGCACATGTGTTAGTTGTTCCAGCATTAAATACATGAGGGCTGCTCTGACCATGTGAATCTAGTAGTCCATTTATTTAGCAAAAAGATGTCACAACTTTTATTGCTGTACCTTAAGGCAAATTGAATGATGTTACAAAGCATGCATTTATGATTCTTTACTACAGCTGTTAATGTATTCAAGTACCCCTTGGATATTTACAGTCTTAAACTTTTTCTTTCCCCAAGTTTGGCGGTGCTAGTGTTCTTCCAGACGTTTTCTACACGCCTCTTCTAAAGGTGCCTGAGGTATTCACCCCTGAAGATCAGAAGTTCAATTAAAAAAAACTCAAACAACACAAAAAAACCACCAAAAAACAAAACCAAACCAAAACTAACTAAACTCATCACCATCTAAAACTTAAGATTCTCATTCTGGGCTTTTGTTTTGTTCTGTCAGCTGTGAACATGAACTGGACAGAATGCAGTCTTTTAGGGCTCTGGCTTGGCAACTAGCACTGTGATAAACAACACCCGTTTTCCTCTGTTAAATACTGCTGTAGTTGTTTCTTCATCCACCAGTGCTGGCAGATCTAGTTGTAATTTGTATTTTTCAGGGACTTCAATGATTATGTCATCCTAAACCAAGAAAATGAAAACACTTGATTAACTATTTGACAATGAATTAGTAGTGAGCATTTCTAGGAACCAGGTACTAGACAGAGAACACAAGATGATTCTTTCTGCTGTCTTACCTTTGAAATTCTGAAATCACACTCAGAAACATAGCTAACCTTAGGCAATTCAATTCTGAGTTCAATTTTGAGTGGTCTCTTGCTTGCGTCCTTCACAGTGATCATTTCATAGACAGGAGTACTTAGCTTCTCTGGCATTTCAGTACTGGTAATTTCCTCTATCAGATGCACTTTAGACTGTGGCGCGCTTTCTTCCTTCAGCAGCACAGGAGCATTGCTGCAGTCCTCAGCTTCCATAGTGTGTAGCAGCTGATCAAGTGTCAGTTCTTTCAAGAAATACAAGTTTTTCACACATATCAGTTACTAAGAACTGTAATGTTATGCCACTTGACAAATATATCAAGGTTTTATCTATAATTAATTGTAATTAGCAGTTTTGTCAGCTGAAGACTGTTACTGGCAGTTTCTGCTTTGCCTGTGATTTGGTTTTATTGCCAACAGGTTAAAAGCTGTTGTTTTCTGAGTACTAGTTACAGCAGCAACCCCTTTTATTCAGGTTAGAGCAAAAGAGACTTGGCACCTCAAAGGATTAAACCTTAGTAGAATTTCCATGTCTAATGGATATAGGAAAAAGGGTGTTTGCTGTTCCAGTGTCAGAATGACACATAGGCCAGCAGGGTTAAACTGATGTCCGGTGTGAATACTGCTGCTTTATTCTGAATTCTTAGAAGCATTTTGTTTATGCTTATTGGAAGAATTGGAGTTAGAGAGATTGAGGCTTGAGTAAATTTGTTGGATCATGTGATAGGTCTTGAAAGAATAGCAACAGCAGGTCTCTACATACCCTTTGTGTTCTGACTGAGATGTGGAGTTGGATTCTGCCTTCCTTTTAGACGTTGCTGCATGGTTTCTAGGCTTCCTTTCAATTTGAATGATTCAATGGTGTACAAATCGGAAAGAATAAGGTTGCATCGTTTCTCAATGAATTTAAGTGTCAAATGGATCAAGTGCTCCATCTTTTCTGGGTTTTCTTCTCCCCTCTGAAGAACATCTGGGTTATACGCAGTATCTATAATGCTGTAAAGCTCTGTAAAAATAAGTTACGTGTCAGAATTATTGCTATGGTACCACCTGCCGCTGTTCTTTATAGACACTTGATTTAAAAGCAAAGCAAATTCATTTGTGGCTTCTGGACAAAGAGCTAATTCTATCAGCCTTGTCTTGAGATGGCACATGGATTGCCATGTGCTGATCCTGCAGTCTCCATGAGCATGGGACCATGATCCAAGTCAACATGGATATATGTGGTCAGAGAGGTTCCTAGGGTGTAAGTACTCTTAGGAATTTTTGTCTGTCTTCAGGGTGGGTTTGTTTTTGTTTTGTGGGGGTTTTTTGGTGGGTTTTTTTGGGTTTGGGTTCTTTTGGTGTTGGTGTTTTGGTTTTTTGTTGGTTTTTGTTGTTGGGTTGGGTTTTTTTTTGGGGGGGGAAGGGATTTGGCTTTGTATTTTCAAAAAGGAAGGAGTCGTTTAGAGTCGGTGTTGAGCTATGCCTGTTGCATCCCTGCCTTGCTGCCCCCACCCCGAGCGAGAGCTGTCCACTCAATGCACTACCGCGGGAAGAAATGAATCCGGGAAAGAAAAAGTGCCTCGGGGGCGAGCCGCAGCTCTTTTCAGCCGTACCTCCCTCGCCAGATACTTCTTCTAGCGGCCCCACGCTGACGGGTGTGGGGTCTGTAGGGGCACTAGGGGCCGGGACCCTTTTCCAGCTGCAAACGTTGATGAACAG